GCAAGATTTGTTTAGTTTACACGTCCGTAATGCACACACCCCTTTTTTGTGAACCACCAATAACCTTTACAAGAGGCAGTAGAAGAACCAATCAAATTTCATGAAGACAAGCGACCTGAGAGCGCAATTCACAACGCTGCCGTCGCCATCGGATCGCGTGTGTCGGGTTTCACCCTGGCTGCGATGACAGCCGTGAATCGCTGTAGTTTGTCGCTCCCCGTGTGTCGAGCCCTTTAGAGATAGAGTGAGAAGTTCAGTTATCCTGGAGAGTAGAGCCGCTGCTCCTCCACATCGAGAGGAGCCAGTTGAGGTGGTTCATCTGGTTAGGATGCCTCCTGGACGTCTCCCTGGTGAGGTGCTTCAGACATGTCCAACTGGGAGGAGGCCCAGAGGAAGACCCAGGACACACTGGACAGACTGTGTCTCTCAGCTGGCCTGGGAACACCTTGGAGTCCTCCCAGAAGAGCTGCAAGAGGTTTCTGGGGAAAGAGAGGTCTGGGCCTCCCTGCTCAACCTGCTGTCCCCGAGGCCCGACTTCAAATAAGTTAAGTCACAAAATACTGATAATGGATGGATGGATGTCAGCCATTGCACACTGAGTGTGGTGAAATGGGCAGGAGACTTCATTAAGACTAGGCTTGTGGGTCTGGTTCAAACACTTTTCAGGCCAAAAGGAAAAAAATTGTAGAGGTCTTCTGGACGGGTTCTTCTCTAATGAAACGTTTCGTCTCTCCTCCAAGAGACTTCTTCAGTCTGAGAGTTTCAGGCAAAATTCAGGCTTTTAAGTCCTGCCTCCATGTGACTGATACTCACATCACCTGGCTATCGCTCACAGGTGACTGTGCTCACATCACATGGCTATCGTTCACACCTAATTAATACCTATTGTTAACGGGGTGGTGAGATACTGCCAATGGCAGCGCTGTAGGAGGGGGACAGCTTAAATCCTCAGCTATTATATACCATACTATATAGAGAGAGCTAACAGACCTTTAGTTAAAACTAGGGCTGCATCGATTAGTTGAAATAATCGATGACATCGATTATGTAAATTTGTCGACGCCGATTTTTTATTATCGATTCTCTGTATTACATAACACCACGTGAATGTTCATGCAATTCCATTTCGGTACCTAAATGCATCATTGCGACCGTATTGGCAAAAGAGTGGTGAGTTTTCCATGCTTGTCCTGAACGCAGCATCGCGCGAGAGCGTAATGACGTCAGCAGCTGCTGCTTCAGTTCAGTCTGAAGCTTGAAAACAAGCCTCGCAGCTCCTGGAGTAAAATTTACCGAACAGACCGCCTCTGAATTATCTGCTGGATTAATTATCTGCTGGATTAATTATCTGC